GAGGCGCTAGCGAGCCGGGAGCTGTTTTCTTTTAACTCTTCAGGTTTGGGGCTTTCCCACTGCCGTCTGGCACCGCTTGCTGCGGGGAGGGCTGGGGGCAGCCCTGCAGCCCCGCGGGCTGTTCCCTCAGGAGAGCTTTTGTTTAGAAACGGGGGAGGTTTGGAATAGCGCCTTTCCCCGGGGGTCGCGCTGGCGGTGGCCCGTGAGGTGATGTAGCCGGTCTCCTAAGGAGAGGCTGCCGCAGCACTCGGATCAGCGTTCTGTCCTGGAGCTGAGGGCGTTTGTCAGATCGACGCTTTGTGTACAGGGCTGAGGTCGCAGCGGCGTTCTGGCTGAACCCGAGCTCTCCGCACTCTCCCAGTCATCGGAGGAGGTCGGTTTAAGGCCTAGAAGCTCTGGTAGGCCTGATGGGCGGAAGGCAAATGCTTACAGAGGTGAGGTTGCTGTCCCGCCAGAGGGACAGCGGTCTCATCAGCAAGATGACTGACACCCAACCACTGCTGATTCCTCCAAAGCAAAAAGCAGCATGGCCTACAAAGTGTAGATTACTGTCACAAATAGGAGCCCCCCCCCAGCCATGCCTTTGGCATCTGCAGCTGCCACAGCCACTGTTCAGGTGCAGACTGAAATTCTCCTGAGACCTAGTGCAAGCAGAAAGTGGTCACAGAAATAAACAGAAGATGAGCCCTTGTTTCCTGGAGCGTTTGCGGTGCTGGTCTTCTCTTCTGGTCAGTCATTCCTGCAAGTCTCCTTGTTGCAGCAGGAAGAACACAGTAGCTACCACATTAAACTTTTATCTTGCAGACTGCTGCAAGATCAAGTTGCTCTGTGGAGTTTTGTGTGTGATGCATTAGTAGACAAGGTTTTGAGACTGGATTTTTTTTTCTTGACAAACTATTTTCATTTGAGCCACAACCGATCAGCCTCAGTAAGCTTGCGCCCAGCACTCTGGCTACCTCCTCCTTTGTTTCATTTTTTGCAAAGTGTAAACCAGGCTTCAGAGCAGTGAAGAATAAATTTTCTATATCCAGCCAACTCTGCTTAAAGGATTTTTCCTCAGATTCAAGTTTCACTACAGAGAGTATATCCTCAAACTGTGTTTCTGAGCATGATGGGGAAAATGGCATCTGCTTCAAAGCACGGGAGGAACAGTTCACAACACATGTGAGCAGTAGTCAGCTAACATCCAATCCCAGCTGAAATCCAGGTACAAATCTCATGGCATTGTCTCAACTTCATAAGCTTTACAACTCCGTTCATCTTACTTCTATGCTGATATCAAATCAACAGTATTTTAAGTTCATTCTTCAGATAAGCCACAACTGTATTTTCACACTCTAGCTTTTGGGCGCTTTGAAAAGCAGAACAGTGTTTCCCAAGGGCTTTGATCTTTAAGGTAAATGCTAGAGCATGCTTTTGGTCCAAGAAACTTGACCGCAACCTTTGTGAAATGCCAAAGCTGCCTAGCAGTACAACATCCCTTTCTTCCACATGGCAGGCTTAGCAAGATTTGTTAGGTTAATTAGGCTAGATAGCTAGCTATATAAATAGCTGAATATCATTAAATGTGCACTTACATTAATGTAGTTAAGAAATATTTATATTTCTGAACTTCTAATTGGACATGCTGGATGTCTAAAAAAGATGCATTGAATCATCATGCAACATATTAATGTAAAAATAGGTATGAAGGTAAAACTGGTGGGAGAGGGAGTCATACTCCAAAACTAGATGTAAAAACCAACATTTAAACTAATAAACATGCAGCAAACTTTTAACAGACAGCTGACAATATGCTCGTAAACTTCAGTCAAGCTATTGTTTCCTTTGCTTTTTGAAGTAGTATATCATGCTTTTAAGCATAAGTCGAGTTTTTATCAATGAGTTCTTTAGAAAATTCAACTGGAGCAAGATGACAGAATACCTATTAGGTGTAATTGTTGCTTGTTAGAAAGCAGTGTGACTAATGTTTGGAGGTTTTCTGCTGCTATCTCATACCTACTTGTCAGCAAGGAAAATTATAGGGTGTTTGAAATTCAGAAGCCAGCTCTGTGTTTCCAGTCCCATAGTCCTGCTGCCACGTGGCGGCCAGCCTGGCGGGCACACTAGAGGAACAGGTGGTATCCCTGTCACTTGTTTTGTCACCAGTCACACAGATACATTAAAGTGCTGTGCCAAGCCTGTGGTGAGCATGCATTCTAAAATATTTAGACCAAATTTCAGTGCGTATTCCTTTCTACTTCTTTTTACTTGTTAAACCTCTGGATCCTGGCACGTAAACCACAGACAGACACTTGTGAGCAAGACACAGACAAAATGAGAAACACCAAAAATGCTTCAGAATAAAAATAATTTTTTTTTAAAAAAGAGGGTAAATACAAGCAAGATACTCGCATATAATATAGGTTAGAATCACAAATTTGTTCTGACATTAACTGGAAACAGCAGAATATATATGCTTATAACTAAATGATGCAATCTTGGGAAACAGCATCTAAAACATTGCCCCCCAAACCAAACTATTAATAGAGAAATACAGTAGTGTCTTGTGTCACAACTCCAGTCTCCTGCAGTGACTGCACAGAGATTTATGAACTCAGAGAGCCTTTGTGGTGCTTGGTCCTTGGCGAAGTGACTGCAGCATGGTACAGAATCCATAAACACGGAGAAGATTATCTTGTTTAGTAGAAGACATTAAACTGATTATGGAAATTATATCAATGTGCTTTTCTCTATAATTTTATATGCACTTAGGAAAATCTGTGAAGATTTTCTAGACCATTAAAACACAAAACAGGCAAAACTAACAGTAAAAATGCCAGACACATATCAGTCCAGTATCTAACACTCATTGAGCATAAGCTTACCAAAGTTTTGGCCTGCTTATTACAAACATGTAATTTTAATTAGAATAATTATGAAATGCTGATATAATTGCTTATTAATCAAATAGTGTGTTTAAATACCTATCTTCTTTCAGTAACTAAGTAAGCTAAACAAGTTAGTATATATGCTGCTTACCTAAACTTTGTCAAATTTCAGATGTCCCCTATAAAATAAAAAGCTATGTGTAAGTGCTGTACGAAGATTGAATTACATTGTTTTGGCTTTATGCTCTTAGTTGCCTACCAGAGTGATGCTCCAGAACCTTACTCAGGTCTCCAAATAGAAATACAATTTTCAGAAATGTTACTTAATCTCTTTATAGTTTCAACACTTTGCTTTCCATGTACTTAGTTCCTTGGTTTGGCATCTGTTCAGTTCCTAATTCAAGCATGGAAATAACTGTGCCAAGAGTAAATTGGAAACATTTGATAACACTTAGACATCTTTGTGCTGGTTTTAGTTTGCAAAATTAGCTAAATGTAATTTTTAATGCTATTCATTTTTTCTTACAATTCATTAGATTTATTCACCTTGGGAAACGGAGGTGAAAAATAGCCTTCTTAGATGCACAGAATGTACCTGCAAAGGTAGTTTCATCATGTAAAAGTGTGATTTTTTTGTTAGAAAAGTCTAGTAAAGCCTCATTTTCCATGTTAAGTTTTCAGAACAAGCAGTGGCATATCCAAATTCTTTTGTAATTACCTCCCAAACAATTGAACTAGATGAGACAGTTGGGACTAACTTGGTTGGTAACTGGGACCTGCTGACAAGCATGACAAACCTCGCTGCAGGGGGATAAGGATTTCCACCCCCGCTGTCCTTTTCAAGGGGCAGTATCCCCACATGTAAGCAACATGAACGTGCAGCCCAGCATCTTAATTTAAACAGGTGACAAAGCCGGCCTTATGCTCAAATGCCTTTTTTTCCACAGAAGCAGATCATGTCTCTTTTCTGACTGCTCAGGGGTAGTGGGTTAAACACCTGGAAGAGGGACAGAGCAGACAACTGGGGACTAATGTCTTTTGTTACACTGTTCATCTGCCAACACTTTGTAGAATTCATGAAACCCACAAAAGGGAGTCTAAGCTTCAGAGAGGACCTACAATAATTGTTTCTTTTTGGATGTTTTTTCAAATAGCTACATATTACTGTTGTAACTCCTCTTCAGTCTTTATAACATTTTTTTCTCACTTGTGTTTAACATGAAATGCCTTATAGGAGCTATATTTCTTTTCTGAACTGTAGTAACAGTCACAGCAATGAAGTAAACTTGGAAAGTTGTGATATACACAATTTCAAATTATATCTTCTTGCACTTGAAAAGATAATTTGCTTTGATAATTCTTAGAATCCAAGAAATTTAGACTCTTTGGAATTCTTTAGATTTTTCAATACAAAAGGAACATAATTAATGACTAAAACTTGAATATGGAAGCAAGAGGATGCAAATCAAGCAACACTCTATTTCCTTGCATTTAGAGGGGGAAAAAAGTGGATAAAAGTCTTTCTTATTTCAGTAAAAATTCATTTAGAAATTAATTTCTTCAAATGAAGCTGCTTGTTTGCAACTCTGGAGTTTTTACAGATTAACACCCTCCTCACTACCATTTGAGATACCTGATTTGTTTTTCATCTGCACAGATCTGTACGGGTAGTTACACAAATAGTCATGTTTTTCATTTCCCTTAGAATCCACCACTATTATAGCTACCTTCACTTAAATTCCTTCAGTCTGACCACTCTTAAGATTTATTCACCATATCCAATCTGCATTTTTAAAAACACAGTGCAGATCCTAAACCTTCTTGCAGTGTACATACCACAGCTGCTAGAGCAAGAATGCAGTTGGCCCTGTCCTTGGTGACCAGGAGGTGGTTGGAGAAGGGCTTTTAATGTAGGCAGTGCTCTGCAGGGCTGTGCCTGGAAATAACCATCTTCTCCTCTGGTTGGTGCTCAGGCTATGGGTCACTCCAGACGTCACAGAGAGAAGGACCTGCAAGTCATCTCCTTTGCAAAAGCAGGCACAGGAATCAATATCTATTTGCTATGACAAGGAGTTACTG